CCATCCCATCCCATCCCATCCCATCCCATCCCATCCCATCCCATCCCTCCCTTTTCCATCCCATCCCACCCAATCCTGTCCCCTTCCTTCCCATTTTGTCCTATTTCATCCCATCCCATCTTACTGTTCATGTCCCCATCCTCTTCTCATCCCGCTCCCCACCCCTTTCCTCATCCAGGTCCTTGTCCCCTCCCTGCCCCAAACCCCATCGCCCCCCCCCCCGCTCCTCCCTGCCACCCAGCATCACCTCCAATGCCATCAGCCGCAGGACCGGCCGGATGCCTGGGGGGATGCCGAAGGTGCCCTGTCTCCATGGCGGGGTGCTGAGCCGTGCCATCGCCCCGTCCTATTGGGGTGACAGGGGTGTGAATGCTGGGGACAGACTCTGAGCCCCCACCCCCTGCTGCCCACCTCTCACCTCAGCCTCGTGCAGCAGCTCAAAGGCAGCCAGCAGTTCCCCGGCCGGCCCCCCCGGCCCCTGCAGTGGGTATCTCTGCAGCCGGGGGGGCTTCCGGCGCCCCACATCCATCCACACTTTTGGGGTGCACACGCTTCTCCCGAGGAAGCTCCCAGCACCCTACGAGGCAGCGACAGGGCGCGGATGCCCCCACCCATGGCTGCCCACTGCCTATAGGTGCTCCCCACCCCTGGGTGTCCCCAATGTACCCCTCCATCCTGATCGAACACCTCCACCACCACAGCTGGGGGCTCATCCCGCAGCCCGCGTGGGTCCCCATGGAGCTGCACCCGATGGAAGAGCAGCGACTGATCCCAAACCGGGTCCAGGGTGCCGGGCAGCACGCGGGTGCTCTGGCTGACGTGCACGAAGGAGACGTGGGCAACAGGGTCTGTGGGAGCAGCGCCCACTGTCAGCACCCAAGGGTGCTGCTGGAGGGGGTCAGGGTGCTGGGGGGGGGTCCCACCTGCTGTGGTCTTGGTGCCGTGGGGCTTCAGCTCCAGCGCTTGGAAGAGGTAACAGCGCAGCTGGAAGGAGCTGGGTCCTGTGGAAGGAGGGAGGGATGTCAGGAGGCTCTGGGTTAGTGTTAGCATTGGGGACCCCTGGATCCCCAGAATCCTCCCCCAGTGTCCTGTGGCTCACGCTCGAAGGTGCAGAGGATGACAGGCGTGGGGTGCTGGGGGTGTCCCCGGCCTTTGGGTGTTGCTGCCATCTGCTTGCTCTCTGGCATTTCCTCTGCATCCTACAAGTTGGGATGTGGGCTAGGGCAGTCAACCCGGCCCCCTTGTCCTACTGTCCTCATGTCCCTCCATCCCTCTGCGCTTGTGTCCCACTGTCCTTGCATCCCCACACCTCTGCATGCCTCTCTCTGTTCCTCCCTCTCTGCATTCTTCTGTCCATCCCTCCATCCCACCCCTGCATCCATCTCTCCCTCCCTCCCTGCCTGCCCTCGCATCCATCTGACCCTCTGTCCCTTCATCCCCACATCCATCCCTCTGTCCTTACATCCCTCTGTCCTTGAATCCCTGCATCCCTCTGCCCCTCCATCCCTCTGTCCTTCCCATTCCTCTATCCCTGTTTCTTCCTCCTTACATCCATTCCTCCATCCATTCCCCTGTCCCTCCATCCTTTTCCATCCCTCCCTCCATCCCTCTGTCCCTCCCTTCACCCCCATCCCTCTCGTCCCTCCGTCCATCCCCATCCGTACCGCTGTGCCCTCGAGGAGGAAGATGGCAGCCACAGATGAGGGCAGCTCTGGCACCATGTGCCGACGCCAGCAGCGCCGCCGGCACGCATCACCCGCTCGGCGCTGCAGATGGAAGCGGCCGCCCCACAGGGATGCGTACTCCCATGCTTTATCCGGAGCCTCGGGGCTGTGCTGTGGGGATGGGTGGCACAAAGATGGAGGTGTGGGGAGAGAAGGATGCACAGAGCAGGGGGCTGGTGGCCAAACACCTGTCCCTGCCACCCCATCCTTGTCACCCACCCCCATCCTTGCCATTCCACCCCTGCTACCCCCTTCCAGCCACCCCATCCTGTTCAACCCCATCCTGTCACCCCCTTCCTTGCCACCCCACCTGCGCCACTCCACTCTGCTCACCCTGCCACCCCATCCTTGTCACCCCCAACCTCACCACTCCATTTTTGCCACCCCCTCCCTACCACCCTCACATCCACCTCCCCGTCCCCTTCCATCCTTGTATCTCCCACCCTGTTCCTGCCACCCCATCTTTGTCCCCCCCATGCTATCACCCTTTTCCTTGCCACCCCACCAGCCCCATATGTGCCACCCCATTCCCACCACCACATCGGTGTCCTGTTCCTGGGCACTGCTGTCCCTACGCCGGGTGCGCAGCCATCGCCGCCGTCGCTGTGTGTGATACATCTCCTCTTTGGGGTGCCACGCAGGTGAGGGGTCTCCGGCCGCCACGCTCACCCCATACTCCCATCCTGCATCACCCACGTTGTCGTCACCTCTGCCACCCCCCAACCCAGCACACCCACACGGGGACATCGCTCACCAGCCTCATCCACGGCCCCTGTCACCTCCACCCGCCAGTCATCGGTGACGTGCCAGCCTTGGGGACACGCCACCTCCTCCTTGGGGGGCACCGCCGCGCCGGCCTGCAGCAGGCAGAAGCTGAGCTCTGGGGCGTCTGTGCCACTCAACTGCCCCCCGTGTCACCCCTTCTCACCACATCAGTGCTGGGCACAGCAGCAGGTCCCCATTCCCCGCCGTGCTGCCGGCTCTGGTTCTCATAGACCTCCTCCAACACCTCGTCCATGCCAGCCTCGGGCTCCGGCAGCAGCCTGAGGACGGGAGCAGCTGCCATCACCTCGCTGTCCCCACGCACAGGGAGGGGTGTCCCTTGGGCTCTCACCTCCGCGGTGGTTCCACAGCCCAGGGCCCATCCCAGCACCAGCCCCGGGGGGGTCGGATGCGCTCGCGGGGCAGCGCCACTCTGCCGGCCACGTCGGAGAAGCTGGGGCGAGCTGGGAGCGCCTGCCTGCTCCATTTGCCCAGGATCTTCGTCTGGTTCTCGTACTGTAGGAATGGGGCGCCGCTGTGTCACCATGTCACCGTGTCACTGCGTCACGGCGTCGCCACGTCACCTCATCACCCCATCGTGTTATCATGTCACCATGCTGTCCTGTCACAGCACTGCTGTGTCACTATATCAACGCGTCACGGTGTCACCATGTCACCATGTCACAGCATCACCACGTTACGATGTCACGTTACAACATGTCATCATGTTGTCATGGCACAGCATCACTGTGTCACCATATCGCCATGTCGTGGTGGCACGTCTCTATGTCACCATGTCATCATGTCACAGCATCACAGTGTCACCATATCATCATGTCACAATGTCACCACATGACCATGTTACCACGTCACAGCATCACCATGTCACTACATCACGATGTCATCGTGTCCCCATGTCACTGTGTCACTATGCCATCATGTCAGTGTCACCATGTCACCACATCATCATGTCATCATGTCACTGTGTCACTGTGTCACGGTGTTGTCATGATCACCATGTCACCTCACCACCATGTCACAGTGTCACCACGTCACCATGTCATGGTGTCACTATGTCTCAGTGTCACCATGTCACTGTGTCACTGCATCACCATATCACCACGTCATCATGTCACAACATCATCATGTCACCACGTTACTATGTCATCACTGTGTCACCTCATCACCATGTCACCATGTCATAATGTCACAGTGTCACTACCTCGTGGTGTCACCACGTCACCATATCACCTCATCACCACATTATGGAGTCACCATGTCATTGTGTCACCCTGGTATCGTGTCACCATGTCATGGTGTCACAATGTCACAGTGTCACCACGTCACCATGTCACCATATCACTGTGTCACTACGTCACGGTGTCACCATGTCACCATATCATCTCACCACCACGTCAGAGTGTCACCACGTCACCATGTCACGATGTCACTTTGTCCCAGTGTCACCTCGCTGTCCCCTGCTCAGCACTCACTGTCTCAGCATAGACGTGCAGGGCGCCCTCCAAGTAACGCGGCAGCTCCTGGCTCTCAGCCACACGCCCCAGCCACAGCCGGACACGGAGCTGGGCATGGAGGTGTCCCGGGACCTGGGGACATCGTGGGGGGACATGAGTGTGGCACAAAGGGGACATGGAGGGTAGGGATACAGAGGGGACATGGGAAGGTATAGAGGAAGAGGTGAGATGGGGAAATGTTGAGGGAAAATGGAGGGGACACAGAGGGGACATGGAAGGGATGGGGTGAAGATATAGAAGGGACGTGGAATGAACGTGGAAAGGACAGGGAAGTGACGTAGATGGGACATGTGAGGACATGGGGGAAATGTGGAGAGGATGTGGAGATGTCACAGGTGCGGCACAGAAGGGACATGGAAGTGAATTAGATGGGATACAGAGAGGACTTGGAGATAGAGAGGGGTTGGGTATGGGGGGGTCATGGAGGTGACATAAATGGGACATGTAGAGGACACGGAGATGACATGGAGTTGACTGGGGGGTGACACAGAGGGGACATGGAAGAGATACGGAGAGGACTGGGAGAGGATGTGAAGAGCATGGGGAGGGGACATGGAGGGGACATGGTTTGAAAGTTGAATGGATATAGAGGGGGAGAGGAGATGGAGGGGACATGAAGGGAAAGGACATGGAGGTGGCACAGATGGGACATGGAGGGGACTTGGAAGGGATGGGGAGGTGACATAGATGGGACACAGATGGGACATGGAGGGGATATGGAGAGGTTGTAGAGGGGACTATGGAGGGACACAGGACAATGAAGGAAAGTGGAGGGGATATGGAGAAAGCTTAGAGAGGACACAGGGGGGACATGGAGGTGGCATAAATGGGACATGGAGGAACCACGGAGAGGAAAGTGGAGGGGATATGGAGTTGACATGGGAGTGACACGAAGGAGACAAGGGAGAGAATGAGAAGAGCATGGAGAGGGGAGATGGAGGTGACACGGTTTGAATGTTGAATGGGCATACAGGGGGAGAGGACATGGAGGGGACATGAAGGGACTGTGGGGAGGATACGGAGGTGACATAGATGGAACACGTAGGGGACGTGGCGGGGATATGGAGAGGTTGTAGAGGGGGCTATGGGGCGGATACAGGTGGGACACCAAAAGAAAGTGGAAGGGATATGGAAGAGATTTGGAGAGGACACGGAGGGGAATGGACTGGATTTTGGGGAAAATGGGGAGGTAGAAGAAGTGCTGAGGGGCCATGAGGGGTCCAGGGGCCGCTTGCTGCCTTACCTCCAGCATCAGGGTGTGCGTCCATCCGCAGAGCCGCCCACAGGCTGCGGGACTGAGGGCTGAGCAGGCGAGGCGGTGTGCGGGGATGCGGGCACAGGCCAGGCAGCGGGCACCGCTCCGCAGCCACAGCAACACGTCGGGAACACCGGCCTGAGGCTGGGACAGAGCAGGACAAGGTGGAGGGGGGACACCCGCGTGGAAGGAAGGGATGCCGTTCAGAGGGACCTCAGCGGGCTTGGAAGGTGGGTCTGGGTGAACCTGATGAGGTTCAACACAGCACAGCGCAAGGTTTTGGACGTGGGCTGGAGGAACCGCAGGTATGTGCACAGATTGGAAGGAGCGGTGCTTGGGAGCAGCCCTGCAGGGACGGAGCCGGGGGTCCTGAGGGATGGAAAGCTGAACGCGAGCCAGCAGTGTGTGATTGCAGCTGGGCAACAAACGGGAGCCTGGGCTCCGTCAGCAGAGGGGGGGCAGCAGGGACAGGAGGCGATCGTCCCCCTCTGCTCTGCTCTCTGAGGCCCCATCTGCAGCACTGCGTCCAGGGCTGGAGCCCCCAGTACAAAAAAGACAGGGAGCTGCTGGAGAGGGTCCAGAGGAGCCACAAAGATGAGCAGGGGCTGCAGCACCTCCACCACGAAGACAGGCTGAGGGAGCTGGGCTCGTTCAGCATGGAGAAAAGAAGCTGCGGGGTGACCTCAGTGCAGCCTGCAGTGCCTGAAGGGAGCCTGCGGGCAGGAGGGGAGTCAGCTCTGTGCAAGGGGAGATGGCAGCAGGACGAGGGAAACGGTTTGAATGGAGGGAGGGCAGCTGGAGGCTGGATGTCAGGGGAAGTTGTGTGCTGTGAGAGCGGGGAGGGGCTGAACAGCTGCCAGAGAGGCTGCGATGCCCCGTCCATCCCTGGAGGGGTTGGAGGCCAGGTTGGATGGGGCCCTGGGCAGCCTGGGCTGCTGTTGAATGTGGAGGTTGGTGGCCCTGCGTGCAGCAGGGGGTTGGAGCTCCGCGATCCTCGAGGTCCCTCCACCCCTGGCCGTTCTGTTTTTCTGTGTGTGTGATTCTGTGACATCAAGAGCCAAAAAAACCCAAACCACAAAACCCCCTCAAAACGGGGCTTTCTGCACACCTCAGCCTGCAGGGCGGCCACTCGGCCCAGCCAGGCCTCGGCCTCGGGGAGCAGCTCGGCCCAGGCCCGGCGCGGAGGCCCGGCGGCGGCAGCCGAGGCGAGGAGCTGCAGGAGCTGCAGGCGGGCGGCGCGCAGCTCCACGTCCAGCCGCGTCTGGGGGCGCTGGGCCTGCAGCACAGGCAGGGCAGCCCTGGGGAGAGCATTTGGGGGATGCTCACCCGCCTGGCTTGCCCCCAGAATGTTTAATTTTCACCCCAAAACGCCCCTCGTTTCCTCCCAGATGACACCATAATTGCATCCCGGTCCCCAGATCCTCCACAAAACGCCCTGTTTCCCTTGAAAAAGAGCCTCGTTTTCCTACAGATCATCCCATTTTCTCTCAAGATACACTCAATTCTCATTAAAAAAAAACATAGAATCCTAGAATCACTCAGGTCAGCAAAGACCTCAAAGATGGAGTCCAACCATGCCCCAGCCATACTGCCCTCATTAACAGCCCTCCACTCAGTCGTGTCCCTGAGCGCCACATCCAGGACTTCAAGCATCCATTTCCACCTCAGAAATGCCCTCCGTCCTCCCCTCCCCCCCAAAAATGCACAACTGCCATCCAAACCAACCCACTCCTGCCTCAGCAATGCCCCCATCTCGTAGAATCATGGAATCACCAAGGCAGGAAAAGACCTCCGAGATCCTCCAGCCCAACCACCCCTGACCCCCAATAGCTCTCACAACCTCACTTTGGCCTCCAAACACCCCGTATCTCCCCAGAATTGCCCCCCACTCCCCTCTAAAATACTCCCACCCCCAAAAAAACACCTGATTTCCCCCCATTACACCAATTTTTCACCCCAAATCCTGCATTACCCCCCACAAAACGCCCAGTTTCCCCCTGAAATCTCCCATTTACCCCCACTGTTTTTCCCTCCAGTGCCCCATTTTTTCCTCGGAACGCCCCACTGCATCCTCCCTGGTGCTGGGCTCCCTTCCCCACCCCACTTCCAGCATTGGGGTCAATGATTAAAGCATCCACAGCCCCCCCGCCCCCGGCGGGCCGGCCGGCCCGGGCCAGCGCACGCAGCAGCTTCCTGCCAACGTCCCCAAGGGCGTCCGGCCTCGCGTTCCGCAGCATCGCCACATTTCCCTCCTGTGGAACCTCACCGTTGACCAGCCCCCACCCACTGCTCATCCCTGCCACCCATCCCCATGTCCATGTGTCCCCACATCCATGTCCCCACCCCCCTGTGCCCCATGTCACCATGTCCCCATGTCCCCACATCCATTTGTCCCCATGTCCCTGCATCCATGTCCTCACCCCCTGTGCCCCATGCCCCCACATCCCCATGTCCCCACATCCCTGCATTCCCACATCCCCGTGTCCCCACGTCCCCACATCCACATCCTCACCCCCTGTGCCCCATGTCCCCATGTTCTCACATCCATTTGTCCCCATGTCCCTGCATTCCCATATTCCCATGTCTCCATCCCTTGTGCCCCACATCCCCATATCCCCACATCCATTTGTCCCCACATCCCTGCATTCCCACATCCCCATGTCCCCATATCCACGTCCTCACCCCCTGTGCCCCATGTCCCCACGTCCCCATGTCCCCACATCCATTTGTCCCCACGTCCCCACCTCCACGCCTCCCCCCACCCCTGCCTGCTCACCAGCCTCTCGCCCACACTGTGCATCAGGTTCTGCCCGTCCCACCGCTGCCCAGCGTCCTCCCAGCTGGAGGTGACGGCCACCACCGGCTTGCTGTCATGCCAAGGCATGTAGTAGTAGCGGTTCCCTGCACGCACAGCGGGATGAGCACCCCACGGTGTCCCCAAGGGGGCAGGGGGTGTCCCCTGCTTTGCTCACCATCAAACAGGGGGTGGCCTTGCGGTGTGGCGGAGGCAGCGGGGCGGCACGAGGTGTCCCCGGTGTCCCCGTGGTTGCCGATGCTGAGCTCGAAGCGCAGAGGTTCGGATGCGGGGGGCAGCATGGTGGCAGAGTAGAACACTGCGCAGAGCCCCAGGCGGTGGCGGCGGGGCAGAAGGTGCTGCAAGAAGAGAAAATGCCCCCAAAAAACCCAAATAATCCCCCCCTACCCTGGGATAAAAAGCGACCACGCGTCACTGTGTCCCCACCTGCACACGGGTGATGTCCTCCGGGGCGATGGCGTCCTGCTGGCGCCCATCGGAGTCCCCTGTGTGGGTGCTGAGCTCCAGCAGCACCCGGCCCCTGTATGCCACCATGGTGTCCTGTAACATAGAGGGGGGGTGCTGGGGGGCTGCGTCCCCCCTGAATGCAGGCGATGCTCTGTGCTGTCACCTCTTGCACTCACGCTGGGCACGTCAGCAGCATCTCTCCGTGGACCATAGAAGGGGAGGAAGCTGGGTCCAAAGCAGGGTAAGAAACCTGGGACCCCTCCTAAAGCAAACCATGGGGTTCAGGAAGGGAGGGGCTGCAAGCTGGGACCCCCCTCCCCCCAAAGGTGGGACCAGACTCACCTTCGAGCTCAGCACCGGCAGAGGAGATGTGGGAGAGGTGGAGCACGGCTGTGCCCAGCACCTTGGACCTGAGGGCAAGGGGTGAGGGCTGGGGGCAACACCGGGGGACCCCCAAATTGAGGGATGCCCCCATTACCCGCTAAGGATGGCCAGCTCGATGGCGTCACAGAGCGGGGGCAGCTGGGGGCACAAAATTGGGGAGGGGGAGGAAATAGAGGATTCAATTGGGGATTTTAAATGAGGGGTTTAGCGGAGAGCCCACTTGGGGCGGGAGGCGCCTCACCCGCAGGGGGAAGAAGAGCACTTCGTTCCACGTGGGCTTGGCATCGGGGGGCATCACTCGAGTGCAGAGCTGTGTTGGGGACACTGTCACCCCTGGGCACCTGTCAGCAGCACCCACCGTGCCCCCAGCACCCACCGTCCTGCCCGCAAAGCTGGCGCGCACCGCCGCTGCCACGAAGCTCCTCTTGCTGCAGGCAAGGAACGGACGGGACGGCTCCTCTGTGCCAGGAGTGATTGCGTCAGGTTGAGTTAGGGTTAGGGTAGGGTTAGGATTAGGTTAGGATTAGGTTAGGTTAGGGTTGTGTTAGGGTTGTGTTAGGGTTAGGGTTAAGTTAGGATTAGGTTAAGCTAGGGTTAGGGTAGGGTTGTGTTAGGGTTAGGTTAGGATTAGGTTAAGTTAGGGTAGGGTTGTGTTAGGGTTAGGTTAGTGTTAGGTTAGGTTAGGGTTGTGTTAGGTTAGGGTTAGGTTAGGATTAGGTTAGGTTAGGGTTAGGGTTGTGTTAGGGTTAGGTTAGGATTAGGTTAAGCTAGGGTTAGGGTAGGGTTAGGTTAGGGTTGTGTTAGGTTAGGGTTAGGTTAGGTTAGGGATAAGTTAGGATTAGGTTAGGGTTTAGTTAGGTTAGGTTAGGGTTAGGTTAGGTTAGATTAGTGTTGGGTTAGGGTGAGTTTAGAGTCAGGGTTAAGTTAGGGACAAATTAAGGTTGGGTTAGTGTTAGTGTTAGGGTTGGGTTAGGTTAGTGTTAGGGCTGCGTTAGGGTTAGGTTAGGGTTCTTTATAGGGCTACATTAGGGTGAGATTAGGGCTAGGCTTAGAGTTAGAGTTGGCACTAGGGTTAGGACTAACGTTTGGGCCAGTTTTAGGGTTAGGGGACGTTTGGTGGCATCCACACCCCTCACAGCCCTCACCCACCCCGGGGCAGCTCCTCAGCACGGTAGATGCGGAGCTGCAGCGTGGCCACGCACGGGGTGAGCAAAGCAGACTGCAAGAGATTGGCTTCCACCTCCTGGCTCCCTGCTGCCTCCTCCCGCTCCTTTAAGAAAAAGATACGTATGTACCGATACACGCTATGTTTTAGTTAATTAATCCATTAACACAACGATGCTTAAAGGTGCTCACCGACACGGGTTCGCCGGCACGCAGCACGGCCGCGCCGATACGGAGGTACCCACAGCATCCAGCATCGGGGTGCCGGGGGTGCTGCAGGCTCAGCCACGTCCCACCCAGCCTGCGCCCTGCTCGGGTTGGGGACACCCACGTCACCTCTGTGCAGCTCCGTGACCCCGTGGGCACCCCAGCACCATGCAGGGCCACCTACCGGGTGCGTTGTAGACGGTGCCGACGTCCAGCTGTTGGGAGCAGACGGTGCAGGAAAAGGGCCAAGGTGAGCTTTGTCACCCCGTTTCCCCCGCTGTCATCCTTACCTTGAAGGCGCCGATGATGGCATCGGCACGGATGGCCCTGGAGTTGAGAACCTGTGGGGTTGGGGACAAAGTCAGCGGCCGCCACGCTGTCGCCATCCCCACGGTGCCATCGACCCCGACCTGGATGTGGATGGGCACTGCTGCCAGCTGAGCGGGCGTCAGGTGGAAATGCTGAGAAAACACCTAAAAATGGGCAAAGCCATGAGTGCACCGGAGATGGATGAGGGGACAGCAGCGGGTCCTTGTCCCCAGGGCCACCTCATTGTAGTAGGGGTTGTTCCCAGCACGGATCCTGCTCCTGAAGCGATGCTCGCCGATGAGGACCGTCACCACCGGTTTGATGGCACTGCCCTGCAGCTGGTGGCCCTGGAGGACCCTGACCCGCACCTGTGGGACACGGCAATGTGGTGACAAGGGACATCGTGCTGAGGGTCACCTCACCCTTGGGTGCCCTACCTGGAAATCCTCCTTCTTCCCTGCTGCAGGTTTGGGGTGGCGGTGCGATGCCATTTCGATGGCTGTCCCCACCACTGGGGTGGGACGTGGGGGGGACAGGCATGGTGCCACCCCTTCTGGTGGCTGGGATGTGACATTCCCTGCTGCCATCTGCCCGGGGGGGACGTAGGAGCAGCGCAAAGAAACAGTGGCCCCCGTGGGATGTCCCTGAGGGTCTTGCAATGGGAGCTGGCTGAGATCAAGCGGCAGCCCGGGGTCCTCCGCCAGGCAGCGCAGAGGCACCGTGGTGGCACCCAGGAGCCTGCAAGGATGGGGACAGTGAGCGCAGCCACCGTGGGGGTGGCACCCTGCAGTGCTCACAGGGCGACACTCACCTGTGTGCTTCTGGCTGACCCCAGAGCTGCAGGCGCAGGGCCAGGCTGTCCGTGGGGCGCAGGGGACGTGCGGCCAGAGGCCACACCAGAGTCTGTGGGATGGGGGACAGAGGTTGGCAGGGTGGCCACGTGCCCCCGTGCTGCTGTCAGCCACCTCTGGGTCAACTCACCTCATTCCATGCTGGGCTGCGCTCTGCTGGCACCACCCGGGTGCTCCTGGGGACACCTGGAGGGACAGGAGTTGGGTTGGGGACACTGATGTGGGCGGCACACGTCACCATCCCACGAGGACATCCAACAGCATCCCACCCCATGAGGTCGCGCGGTGCCACCCCATCCCGTGACGACGACACGAAGGTGGCTGATGCCACCCAGAAGTGCAGGGACAGCCACCTCAACGTCCCCTTGTCCCCAGCAGTACCTCTGAAGCGAGCATAAACGTGCACACCGGGTCCTGCACCGGTGGCCGCCGGGAGGTGAGCGCTGGCCACCAGCAGCCTCAGCATGGCCGTGTCCCCGTGTCACCACGGCGTTGTCACCATGGTGCCGTCACGTTCCTGAATGCATTGGGGTGGGGCACAAGAAGGGACACTGCTGCTGCTGTGGGGTGGGTGTCCCCATGTCACCCAGGAGCTGTGTCACCGTGCGTCTGTGTCGCTGTGTCCGTTTGTCCCCACGTCTGTGTGGCTCTGTGTTACCGTGTCCAGCCGTCCCCATGTCGCTGTGTCCCCACGTTGTGTCCCTGTGTCTGTGTGACGTGTCACCAAGCTCTCATATCTGTGTGTCCCCATATCCTCATGTCCATGTGCCCCTTGTCACTGCATCCCTGTGTGCCCATGTCCCCCTGCCCCTCCTTTCCATTTGTCCCTGTGCCCCATGTCCATACGGACATCTTTATGGCCCACCTTTAAAGTCTCTTTTCAATCCAACCCATTCCTTGTGTCCACATGTCCACGTGACCCACATCACTGTGTTCCCATGTCCCCATATCCCACATCCATGTGTCCCACATCCCCATGTCCCCATGTCCGTGTGTCCCATTTCCCCATATCCCCACATCCACGCATCCCATATCACTCTGTGCCTCATGTCCTCACATCCATTTGTCTCCATGTCCCTGTATCCCCACATCCATGCACCCCATGTCACTCTGTGC